TGGCAACTTTAGGACTTGTGGACTTCAACTCCCAGAGTTCCTCAGCCAATCGTGGACTCCAACTCCCAGAATTCCTCAGGGATCTGAAAACCTGGCAACTTTAAGACTTGTGGACTTCAACTCCCAGCTTTGCTGGCTGAGGAATTCTAGGAGTTGAAGTCCGTAAGTCTTAAAGTTGCCAAGGTTGGAGACCTCTGTTTTATGGAGGGCCCAACAACCAGAGATCTTCATGAGAAGATCTCAAGAAAGGCCTAATGGAGACGTTTGGAATACATGTAGTCCTCAACTTACGACCACAGTTGACCCCAAAATTTCCACTGTTAAGTGAGACAATTGTTAAGCGAGTTTTGCCCCATTTTATGACAGTTCTTGTCACGGTTTGTTAAGTGGATCGCTGCCGTTGTGAAGTAAGTAACAGGGTTGTGAAGGGATTCTGGCTTATCCCGTTGACTTCGCTCGTCAGAAGGTCCCGAAAGGGGAGCACACGGTCGCAGGATACTGTGACCGTGATAAATACGAGTCAGTTGCCAAGCGCCAGGGGGTTGAGCTAGAAGACCTCCGAGGTCTCTTCCAACTCTGATAGCCTTCATCTGATTTTGATCAGGTGAACATGGGGGACACTGCAATGGCCGTAAGTGTGAAAAATGGTCACGAGTCACTTTTTTCGGTGCCGTTGTGACTTTGAATGGCCACTCGATGAACTTTTGTAAGTTGAGGACTACCTGTACCGATTCTTTCTCTCTTCCCCAGCCCTCTCCTTCATCGTCTTGGTTGAATCACATAGCAAGAATTGGACAGAAATGATATTTGGGGGGGGTGGCAAGGAACAGCGGCATCACCTGGAAACCACGTTCTTGAATTAAAACCGGGTTCTTGTAGCATCTACCTATTCCCTATCGTTTTAAGCTTTTTTTCCCCTCATTTGGATACTTTATAGTCTACTACAAAAAGACCCCTTGGGTTCCCAAAGAGGGAAACATTCTTATTTGAGTAACACAAACAAGACACACAGGTGTGCGGTGGAGTGATGGTTGAAACTCATGTTCTAGTTTTTGAGTGCAGCCTTGCTTCATCTACATTAAACGGCCCCATAATCCCTTGCGGAGAGGAGTCTGGGCGACGGAATGGAGTTAGCAGACTGTTTGAAGGGCCGGCTGCCCTTCCTTGTTGCCAATACGGAGTTTTGTTCAGCAGCCCAGGGACAGAAATATCTGCTTCTACCTAGGATCGAACTCACGGCCTCCTGATTGCGGCGCTCTAGGCCACCGCGCCACTCCAATGAACGTAGCCTTGCTTTGGTGGGCTCAGAATAACAAATTGGGAGCTCGTGGAAATGGAGACCGGGGTTCTCTCTCTGGGAAATAATAGGCCGATTAATAATTTAATTAGGCCACAATGATGTCTCTCCTAAGCTTAATTTTAAAGCCAGGCCAGATGGTTAGGGCCGGTGTTGGGCTCTTGATGAAAGTCTTGTGAATTATATCACAGAGATTCTGATCCACAAAGAATACTTCTGGCTAAACGACCAGCTGGGTTGAAATGGATGTGTGCGTATGTGTTGTTTTTTTTACAAGCTGCCTCAACAGCTTCCCTTAATGATTCGGGATTGTGGATTAATTATTGTGTCCTTCACCATTCACTAGCAATGGTAGTTGAAGACCGCCTATTTGCTATGCACCTAGCTTGTCCTTAAATTGCTCACCCAAAGAAGCCAACACATTTTAAAGCAGAAGGTGTGATCTACACCAAAGGGACTTGGGCTGAAAGGTTGGGACATCACCTCTTCAAATCTGTGTCCCGCGCCCCAATCCTTGGGAGAACTCAAACCGTTGCTTCAGAAACGCAATCAAGATTTTCCAAATACTGCTGGTTTTTCCCAATGGCAAATAAATCCGTTTCATTTAGAAGGAAGGTTGTTCTTGTTGGTTGTTTTTTTTTTTAAGCTTTAAGAGGGTCATTTTATTTGGTATTCTGTTCTGTTCTAAACCTGATCTATAAATAATATTTTCCAAGCCAGGAACGTTACGCAGGAAATTGCTCTTCGAGGTAGATAAAATTATCACCACCCCTTCTGCACACCTGTCTTCCTTTTCCTTCCCAGGTCCTGATAGCAACAGCACTTAGACTTACGTACTGCTTCGTAGGATATAGTTTCTGACAGAGGGAACAATGGAACAGAAGTTGCCTTCAGAAGTTGTGGGAGCTTCATCACTGGAAGCTTTTAAGAAGAGACTGGGCTGCCCACTGTCAGGAATGGTGCAGGGTCTCCTGCTTGGGTGGGGGGGTTGGACTAGATGATCTACAAGATTCCCTTCCAACTCTGGTTAATCTGTTAAATGGTGCTTTACAGCCCTCTCCAAGCAGTTTACGGAGTCAGCTTATTGACCCCAACGATCTGGGTCCTCGTTTTACCGACCTCGGAAGGAAGGCTGAATCAACTGGGAATCGAACTGTGTGGCAGTTGGCAGAATTAGCCTGCCATGCTACATTCTCACCACTGTGCCACCACTGGTCTGATGTAGGAAAAATCAAGGCATGTATCAAAAGGCTAGTAAATCGGAAGAATAAGGTGTACTTACACCTACCTGCCAAATGGCTGGTGGGCAGGAAGCTGCTATGATGAGGCGAGGATCCAAATGGAGCGGAGTTCGGGTGAGCAGACCCTGCAACAACAACAGAAGCAACCGCAAAATAAGCTTGTAGCAGCACCCGAGAATCCGTCTTTACAGCCTGGTAACTTAGGGAGGGTCCCTCCTGAGCTTCTTGCTTGGCCCATTATACAGCTAAGGACTATGCCGTCTCTTATCTGATCATTCCAGAGGCAGCTATCTCCTCCCTTCACCTCCCAAAGTTCCTCTCACAAGCGTTATCGCCACCTCTTTCACAGGATAAGAAACTAGGTAGGGACTCTTTTCAGTCTCTCTCTCTCTCTCTCCACCCATTATGAAATTGTGGGCTACACCAGGGGTCGGCAACCTTAAACACTCAAAGAGCCACAAAGGTCCTAAGCAGAACCCCCCACCCCATTCAATTCTGGAGCTGACCAAAAGTCCGGTTCCCACACCATAGTCTCCTCCTAGCGTGGTGCCCTTTTTCCTCTACTTGTCCTAACCGAAAGCCCTATCAATTGTGGAGCGAACTGGAAAACCCGTCCCTTGCCATAGAGTCTCCTCCTGGAGCGCCGTGCTTCCTCTCCCCGCCCTTAACCGGAAGCTAATCTCAACATTGTGGCATCAGCTGGTGACAGGGAGCTGCAGCAGAGGGATGAAAGAGCCACATGCGGCTCCGGAGGCTGTGGGTTGCCGATGATTCTTATCTGACTATTCCCTAGAGAGCATCTCTTCCCTCTTGTCTCCAAAGGTCATTCCCATATACCATTACAAGAGTGAATTATAACAAAGCAATCCCCCTGCTGAAAGAACTTTATCTGCCATTGTTTCACCGCCCCACTCCCCGTCCGTCTTGAAAACCCTTCCTAAGATTCTGTCGTGGTCCACCGGCAGCCTGCGGAGACGGCAGCAGAGTCAGACAGTGGGGAGGAACATGGGCCAGTCTGGAGTCTGGGGAGGACTCGGACGAGGGCCTGTGTCCGATGCAGAGATGGGACCAGAGCCATCTGGGAGTGGGGTGCTGCCTTCTGAGCCTCTGGAGTCTGGCAGCAGCGAGGCAGAGGAGCAAGGGGAGCCTGTTCCTAGTGCGCGTATGCACAGAGCTGCCAGAAGGCAAGAACAGTTAAAACAAAAGGGGCGACTCAGGAGTAAGGCTTGGAGGTGATTGGCCCTCCCATAAGACATAAAGGAGGAGCAAAGGGACAGGACTCTTTGCAGGAAGCAACTTCGTTCGTACTCGTCGGTTTGAAACCTGAAGCTCTGGGTTGAATTTGTGCTCTGCTTAGCCTTGTACAACTAATTGGAAATTTAGTCATTGGCAGCATTTCAAGGAAGATAAAGGTGTGGGCTTATCGGGAAGGACATTGGTACACTTCTGTGGAACTGAGACTCATTACGGGCTGTGATTGACTTTAATTCACAGCCGTTGAAATTTTGTAAAAAAAAAGGGGGGGGGGTTGGAACTAACGTGTGTTTGTTAGTGTCTCAATAAGCCTTGGTCAAAACAGATTCTGAAGGGATTTGAGGAGGCTGGAGAAAGGATCAGGCCGTCCTTCGGACTTGTTCCCACATGGTCTCTCCATCATCAGAGGATCTAAAATTGATCGAGATCGAACTGGTTCCCAACAACTCAAAGAAGAAAACATTCTCTCTCCCTGTGTGTGTGTGTGTGTGTGTGTGTGTGTGTGTGTGTGTTGAAAGCAGCCCTGGAGAATGGCACCCATTGTTATCGATGTGCTTTGAGATGGATGGAGGCTGTCACCCCGTAAATCCTTTAGGATATCAGAAGGTGCATCACAAATAGGTGATTTCTTGGAAGGAGACCTCTTTGCACCTTGACGACTCCGGGCTGATAATCGTCAGGAGGAGGGAAGCGGAAGGAGAGGCTTCCTCCAGAGTAAAACCAGGAATGTAGCTGTGGAAGCTATTAAAACTGAATGTTTGCCTGCAGATGTACATCCATCCCAGGGACAAGGGAATCTGAGATAACTTATGTTTTTGGCGGCAACGTCTACAGCCTGGAGAAGCTGAGCTTCTCCATGGCTTCTCCTTCAACAAGGTCAGGAGGAAGCCTCAGAAGCTGGAAATCCACAGATTTATGCCTCTTTCCATTGAGTCACCAAGTTCCTTCCACCTCTTCTCTGCCGATAGCCAAGTTTATTGAGATTTACTGCCCAGTGCAGCTTTGGGTATTCGCAGATGGAAAGGCGTAATTTACAAGCCACACGGGGCTTCGGATTTGATTCTGAGAAGATATTTTAGAGCATCAGGAACGCACCTGCCAAACTCGTTAAAGATGCTGTATTCGTTTCCTGAAGGATCTAAGGCAGGGAAGTCCCCTACCCCTGGTCTATGGCCCAACACCAACTACAGCATGCCAGAAAACGGGCCACACAAACAAGCAAGGCCCCATTCATGGGATGCAGGCAACACACAAAACCAGGCCCTCTCTGGTCCGTGGAAAGATCTCTCTCCACGGAACCGGTCCATGGTCCCCAAAAGGTTGAGGGCTGCTGATTTAGGGCAGGGGTCTCCAACCATGGCAACTTTTAAAGACTTGTGGACTTCAGCTTTGCTGGCTGAGTGTTGTGACCCGCCGGCGGCTAGCAGAATTGGCGGCAGACTCAGACAGTGAGGAGGTTGGGGAGGAACATAGGCCAGTCCTGGAGGCTGAGGAAGGCTCGGACAAGGGCTCTGCATAAGAGCAATTATGAACTAAGGGTTGACGTGGGAGTAAGGCCACAGGTGGACAATGAATGCCCCCTCCCATCAGGATTAAAACAGGAGGAAAAGGGGAGGGGGCTTTTGCAGGAAACCATTCGTTTGTTGCAGAGGTGTGAAGATCTGTCTGTGCATCTCAGAGACTCCGTGCGGAGCCCTTCCTTGTCAGCACTGCGTTTGGAAATATTTCCTTGGCATCTCTCCAGGCTAGATAAGGTCTGTGCTCCTAATTACACGCTTGAAAGATTGTTTGCCAGGCATCTGTCTGAATGTGAATGCAAGAAATTCACTGTCATTTAATAAAAAGGGTTTTGCCTGGACAGAGTGTCGGCTTATTGCTTTTTGGGGAAGCCTAGGTCAGAACACTGAGGAACTCTGGGAGTTGAAGTCCACAAGTCTTAAAGTTGCCAAGGTTGGAGGCCCCCTGATCTAGCCCCCCCCCCCCCGCTTATTTTTGGCAACAGAATAGACATGTGTACATCAACAGGGATTTTCCCTCACCTGTGCTGGAGAAGAGGGGTCGGGCAAGATCTTGAGAATAATGGAACCCAGGAAAGACACCGGGAGCTGGCGGTCTGCTGAAGAGGTCAAGTTTTCCGCCGATTTCAAGCTTGTGGGGATCCAGCTGCATTTGCTGTCAAAAGAATAAAGAAAGAAAAAAAAACAACCTCTAACTATTCATTTCTATTTTCTGGGCTTGGTGTTGTACATGTTGGTTCCCTCCTCTCCTTGATTACCACTGGATGTAAAACCAGGTAAGGTTGGCATAATTGGTACCCACAGCTCTGTAATGTGGAAACATGCTAAAAAAGCCAAATTGAGCCATGTTGGTTTTTCATCATGCTTACAAAAGAGTAGATCTGCTCCTCAAACCACTTCCTAAACCCAAGGATCACTCTCTAATCTCCTGACACCAGAAGCAAAGTTCCATGAACATCAGAATGATACTGTACAAAGTGAGCACCCACCCGTCTCCTAAAAGAATGAAACACTTTTGAGAAATATTTAAAAAGGCAGAATATTATATTTCCCCTCAAAGAGAACTAGAAATCTTAAAGGAAACAAAAACTCAGAGCCACAGTTCCCTGTCCCCCCAAGCAGGGAGGCCAGATTTGGTAATCCATTCAAGACAGGACATTTTGAACAAAGGCAGAATTAGGTAGAATGGTAGGATCAGCCCTGGCTCAAGATCCAAACCAGGAAAGCCATTAAGACACAACAGAAATGGTCCAACACCCTTTCAGGACACAAGCCTCCTCATTACATCGCCTCAGAGTGTCCAGACTTCAATCAAACTTAATTCAGACAACCTAAAAGGTTGGCTAGGACCCCTGCATAGCTCCATGGGAGTCTGACAACTAATAGAACATACATTTCTTGCACAGGAACAGGAAGCTCAAGGGCAAGGCCCAAGAGAGGGCATAAATACCCTTCTCTCTCAACTCCATGTCTTCAGCTGCCCAGGACTTCAAACCCATGTGGTCCTGTCCATCAATAAACCATCTTCCCAATCACCCTCCATGTTTCCAGTGTCTTTCTCCCCACTTGGACCTGAACCAGATAGATATTTCTTCCAACAATTCAATTTTCTGCTTCTCTCTCCTCCCCGCTTTGTGGTTACTCAACTAGAGCGGTAAACAAGGGGGATGGAACCACAGAACAAAACACAGATTGTGGTGATTACAATAGGGAGGAGGCTGTCAAAGTGACTTCCTTGACTATCCACCTCCTCAGAAGCAGGGCGGTTCTGCAACCACCCTCTTCACAAAACAACCGGGCGTTCTCCAACCATTTCCCAAGCGGCTTCTACAACAACCAACCACCAACCACAGGGTGTTAGATGTTGACTTCTGTGGTTGGGGCCAAAACTCTGAATTCTGCCCTTTCGTGCTTGGTTTCTCTCAGAATTTCTCCCTCAGCATAGAAAGCGTTCTCTTGAACATCTCCCGATGAGAGATATCTCAGTTTCAGAGGCGCTACCACAAAGTTTCTCTCGGCTTCAACCCTGTTATGTTCTCCAACCTGTCATTCTTCCAAAGGGCAAGGACTCTTGGCAATCTCCAAGCGTCTTCTAATATTTGAGGGACAGTCACAGAGAAGAGGGGATGTCCTATTGTCCCAAAGATGTCAACCCCTATTCTCCTGTCCCTAAGGCGGGACAAGAAATAACGGAAGATCATTAATGAGAGAAGCAACCTAGAATTAATGAGGAATCACTGATCAGTGAGAACAATTCATCAGTGGAACAGCTTGCTCCCAGAAGTTCCGGCTGCTCCATCAGTGGAGATTTTTAAGAAAAAGATTGGACAGCCGTTTGTCTGGAATGGTACAGGGTCTTCTGCTAGAGCAGGGGGTTAGACTAGAAGACCTTCAAGGTCCCTTCCAACTGGGTTATTTTGTATTCCGATCTTCTCCTCTGGATTGAGTAGGATTGGTATTGCTACTAGGATGACCTGCCCCACCAGAGAAACACACAGCCAGGTAAGATTTCTAAAATAGATATTCGAAGATAGAAAGGCTTAATTAATTTCCACGCTTTGCGGAGGGAAAGCAACCGTGTGAAAAATAAGACATCTTTGCATATCAGGGGTGGTGAGAATGGGAATTGTCAGCCTCAAAGCCGGAAGAGAAAAGCGCTGGTTTTCTGAATAAATCTGCCCGATTACCTTTATCTTCTGTTGGTGATGGTAGATCTGCCAAGCAATCTGGACGTGGACAGCGCACCATTTCCCGGGCTTCTGTAATAAAACAAGGACCGAGATTTAATTTTAAGCAGCTGTGGTGTCCACTGCTCTCTCTCTCTCTCCTTTGTACAACTGATTATGGGTAGTCCTTGACCTACGGCCAGAATTCATCCCAGAACTCCCGTTGCTAAGTGAGACGTTTGCTCAGCGAGTTGGTGACAAGCTTGCATTTATGAGGGTTGTAGTGTCCCGGGGATCAACACCTTCTGACAAGCAAAGTCCAACGAGGAAGCCAGGTGCTCCTCACTTAACAACTGCAGTGATTTGCTTAGCGACCGTGGTGAGAAAGGTCATAAAACGGGGACGTAAATCTGGCTTCCTCACTGATTGTGCTGGTCAGAAGGTCGCAACGGTCGTAAGTGTGAAAAACAGTCATAAGTAGCTTTTTTTTCAGTGCTGCTGCAACTTCAAACAGCCAACAAATGAACTGTTGTAAGTCGAGGACTACCTGAAATCATTGGTTTGATTTAAAGGCTGCCCTAATGCGTAGATTAGGCTGCCTTAATATTTCTAATATCCTAATACTCTATTATGTCAGGATTCCGGCAGTTACCCCATTTAAATCAGGAGTCTCGAGCCAAACTTCCAAAATTCCAAAAGGATTTATTGGGAGTTAACATGTCTGCGCTGCCTGGGTTTAGCCGACTCTGAGACACTTAATTCACTGTCACCCTTGACCCTGGTTTTCCCCTCACCCCTCTGGGTGTATCGTAATTCATATCCTCCAATGGGACACATCCCTAGCCAAGAGCCATCCATCATGTTCTCCAGTTAGAATTTTGCCTGGCAGAAACTTCAGTCACCTCGTTACTATCTTTGAAAACTATTTATGGAATGCACTTTTGATTTCCAAGCGGCTGCACTGCTCTTTCAAACCCCTTTTCTCCCTCGCTTTTTTAGAGTTGGCAACTCTAAAAAAAAGTAACTCTGTACTTCTTTTATGTACACTGAGAGCATTTGCACCAAGACAAATCCCTTGCGTGTCCAATCACACTTGGCCAATAAAGAATTCTATTCTATTCTATTCTGTTCTGTTCTATTCTATTCTATTATATACTGTTCTGTTCTGTTCTACTCTATTCCAGTATTCTATTCTATTCTGTTCTGTTCCTATTTCTATTCTAAAAAGACCATAGAAATATTTTATGAGTTGACAGTCCACTTACAACAGTTTGTTTAGTGAATTTGACAAATGTCAGCTCGCTGCAATCTATAATCTCACCCGTTCTTTTTTTATGTATATAGTTTATTTATACATTTTCAATTAACATATATATGTGCTTTGTGAAGTGTTGGTGTATTGTCTGGGTCAGTTGCTTACATAATGAAGTTTTCCCAGCTCCTCATTTCTACTTCTCTTATCCAAAAATTTATAAAACAAATCCCATATTTGAAAGTATTCTGCATTTTCCTTCTCTTTTATCTTTAATGTCGGTCTATCCATTTCTGCGCAATCGAATATTTTTAAAATTACATCTTCTTCCCTCGCCCTTTTAAGGAAAGCATTTTGAAGAGTCTTCATATGTGTCATTTCTTTCCCTCCCTTCAATTTAAAAAAATAAATAAAAAAAAATAGATTAAAAAATAAAATAAAATCCCTGACAAACCTTACTTACTCGTACAGGAGCCCGATAGGCGTCCGCCACCTAGGGAAAACACGAGGGAAAAAAAAAATCAACCTTTTACGTAACCTGGATTATAAAAAGGATTTTTTTAAAAAAATTCAGGGTGTGGAACAAGCCAGGGAACAAGCGTGAAAATTGCTCCTTATTTATTTCAGCGTTAAGACCATAATTGCATCAAGACTTAGAAAACAAATATTTCTAATTCGAAAGTGTGCAATTCCTTTATTTCAGTCTATCCCGTAACTCCGGATACAGATCTGTTTAAAAACTATTATCTATAATTTTCCTGAAAGAACCTCACTGGACTTGGTACTTACCCCTGGTGTCTTCTGAAGAAGCGTGTGGTGCACCGTGCTAGGCCTGCCTGCCACATCGATTGGGTTCGAAGTCTAGAAGAATTAAAAACGAAAATGTCGGTGAGTTTGCTGTTCTAGCAAAATGCTTCGATGTGACGCTAGCAAACAGGAAGGGACATTTAATGACCCTGAGCAATAAAGCCACAATTGAGCTCAAAATTTCATTTTCTTTCTTTCTTTCTTTCTTTCTTTCTTTCTTTCTTTCTTTCTTT